AAATCAAATTGTAAGGGTGTAAATACAGGGAAGGGAAAATCTGTTATTTTTGAAGTCTATTATGATGATTATGGAAAAAGCATTATTACCAGTGATGGGCTGGGGATGTTAGAAACAAGGTTAGATCAATATGAAAAGTGAGAACTATAGATGTGAAGGTAGAAAGTAGATTATGTTTTGAGAAGCTTGGCTGTAAAGGTAATTTGAGAGAGAAGACAGTAGCTGAGGGATGTTTGTAGTCTAAACAGGTGTATTGTATTTTCTTTCCCTTACTGCTTGAATGCCTTTCTTCTACTCAAGAAGAGTATTATTGAATATTGAGAGAAAGGATCTACCCTGTTTCCTCGAAAATAAGACAGTGTCTTATATTAATTTTTGCTCCCAAAGATGCGCTAGGTCTTATTTTCAGGGGATGTCTTGTTTCCATGAAGAAGAATACGGTACACATTTATTGTTAAATGAAAATAAAGGAAATTTATTACCTCTATACGGTACGGTAGTACGGTAGTTGTCAACACAAACCAGACAAACTGTGAATCCTACAGTATCAAGAATTTACTCACTTATTCAGTGACAATCATGTCATCATCTTCTGGAACATCATCATAACAATCCAATTCCTGAATTTCCTGGTGAATTTTTGTGACTCCATTTCTTTCAGAATCAGTGGACCAAATCTCTCATGTTTAACCTAGGTTAAACATGAGAGATTTGGTCCACTGATTTGGGGCCTTATTTTCGGGGGATGCCTACATTTCACTCAGAAGGAAACCTGTAAGTAGGTCTTATTTTCGGAGGATGTCTTATTTTCGGGGAAACACGGTAGTAGAAACTGGGGAAACAGGAGATGAAATGAACGTGTAGAAGGTGGGATTTTATGTAGCTGTGATGGGATTAGATTTTGATGGGGTGAGAGAATAACTCTTTTGTCTTCTTTTTCTCTGAGAGAATACTCCCATTAGTAGCTTTTTAGTTCTCTCACAGATCTGGACCAGCATTGTCCTCACTGTCTTCTCCTGCTCTTCCTTTCTCTTAATAGGAAAGAAGCAGGAATGGTTTCAAACATAGCAGGTGGGCAGTAGTAGATTCATGATGGTATTCTGGGAAAGTTCCTGTTTAACAGCTTCTGTTTTTTCAATGTAGAAGAGGCATTCTGAGAATGGTGGGTTGTGCAAGAATGTGTGCTTGAGGTCTTATGTGAATAATGAAGTACATCATTTCCCCCCACTACTGAATGGAACATTGAGCTGACTATTTACTAGGGAAATAATTCAATAAATAAGAGATATTATTATAATTAATATAAAAAGTATTACCATAAAGGGATTCAACAAAACATTTTCTGTTTTCTGAGTTAGAAAGTGATATTATTTGAGATGTTCCAGGGCCTAGGGTTCTTTTTCTTTTTAATATTTTAAATCTACTCCCTTCTAAAACATTGATTGTCCTTCAAAAGAATGTAAAGAGAGTAAAACTATGTTTAACCTTTTTAAAGTAAATATTATCAACAATCTGAACAGAATGGGTAACCTTTCTAAAAAGATTTCCTTAATCATTTAAATTACTTTGTTTTATCAGAACACATAAGAATAACTGGGATAACTTATATACACTTAATTTCAATTAATAAAGATTAATTCAAGCTGAATGGTGGGTTAGTGGTGACATTGTATGTAGAAAAAGAGTAGCTTTTTGTTTGAATAGTTGGGGAATATGTAAAGTGGCCTTAAGAGAATAGCATAATTTATTTTGTCTTTTTCTTTTTTCCTTAGGAAATACTCCTATTAGCTTTTTAGCTGTTCCTGGCCAAGAATACCTACCTAACTTCCTATTCTGTGTAATGACTGTGCAGTGGAAGGGTTCTCCTTATGGAGGGCACCATCTGCTGGTTATAAGAGGTACTGGTTGTGGGAAGACTGCCTTTTGCAGTTAACCAGACTTCGTAAAACCTTGTTTTCCTTTTAATTAAACCTCAAACCTGGAGTACAGTTCCAGGAGGGAAAACCGCTTTTAATAAACATGGTCAAATTGAGATTCTAGTAGTGGTTTGATTTGGTTTCTGTGATTTTGAACTTCTTGACACATACTAGGTTTTTAAGAAAACTCATCATTAAAATTACAGATCCTGTCTATATTTCTTCCCAGATCAATTCAAAAATTATATTGTTACTGCTATTGGTCTTGTTCTTTAATTCAGTCAGTGCTTTGTTCTTTTCTGTTCATTGAAAGGATCTTAAGTAGTTTTATTGCTGTTTCTTGTTTAGTATCTAATGATAGCTTGATTTTTTTTTTCTTTTTCAGGGGTATTAATATGATTTTTTAAAAATCAATACGTACCTTTTAGTGATCATTTTATTTGAACTTACTCAAAGGTTGTATAAGCTCTTTTAAAAAAATATATATTCACACATACACACACACATTTTGATTTCAGAGAGGAAGTGGGGGGAGAGAGAGAAAGAGAGAGAGAGAGAGAGAGAGAGAGAGAGAGAGAGAGAGAGAGAGAGAGAGAGAGGGGGAGGGAGAGAGAGAGAGAGAAAAACATCATTGATGAGAGAGAATCATTGATTGGCTCTCTGCTGCATGCCCCCCACTGGGGATCGAGCTCATAACTTGAGCATTTGCCCTGACCTTGAATCTTAACCAGTGACCTCTTTGTTCCTGGGTCAACGCTTAACCACTGAGCTACACCCGGTTGGGCTATATAAGCTCTTTAGTATTAGAATGTTTCCTTGTGTTTTATTTACTGATCATGTGGACATAAAATTATAAATATTTATAACAATTTGCATACAATAATTCTTAAAATTAACTGCTTTCTGGAATTATTTGTTTTAAATTACCTCTTAAAAGCAGGGAAACTTTAAAAAAAAGCAGGGATACATTAGATTATTCTGGTTTTACTATAAATTGTCGGTAAATAACATTTTTAAAATGGAGAAATTAATTGGCATACTGTTATATAGTATATATAATATATGATATGAATTCTGACACAGGTCAGTTTTATATAGATTTTTAAAAAATTGTTTTTATTCCAGTACCTTTCTTTCACTGATTTTTAAAAATAACAGTTGAAAGCCCAATTTATTTCTTCTGTGCCTCCTTTCCTACTGGCATTGTTCTGTTTCTTCTCTCCTCCTTTCCATTTATTTCCTCTTAACTTGTAATTTTGTGTTCAGTCTTTTCCATACACTTCTTTCTTAAAGATTACCTTTCCCAAACTCTAAAGAGTATTTGCTGAGGTCATATTGTATGTTTTAGTAACATGTATTTCTGAAGTAATTAGCACTGTGTACTATCTCTCCATCTTCAGACTTTTTTTTTTTTTTTAAACACTTCATTTTAATTTTTCTACCTTTCTTGACACTTCTGTTTTCCTTTTTGATTTCCCCCACTCCCAGATCAATATAGATATTTTCTCAAGGTTCACTCTACACATTTTCTTTCTTGATTTTGTTAAACCACAAACTTGACTTTTTTTTAGAACTGCATCTCCAGTTACCTTCGAGATCAAACATATTTCTTTTCCAAGATTTAATGTCTCTCTCTAACTTTTCCCTATTTCTATTATAATGAGGGCAGAAGTTTTGTTTTGCTTATTGTTGTATGTCTAATGCCTAGCATAGTATATTGAACCAAGTAAAATCTCAATAAGTATTTAAATAATTGACTTTCTAGGAACAAGAGCTTTGAATCTTGTCATCATTTACTTCTCTTTTATAATCATAAATAGTTGAATCACTTTTCTTGTTTTTCAGTCATTGCTTGCAGTCAGTTACTCATTATTTCTTACCTGGAATTTGGTAGCAATTTCCTAACTGGTTTTACTATACATATTTGACATCTCCTCTGTGTAGTCTGTAGCCACCATTTCTTAGTATAGTTTTGGTCATTCATGCATTCAGTATTTCTTGTGCACCTACTTTGTGCTAGGGCTTGTAATAGATGCTAGTGTAAAATGATATACTGTCCTTATCTTAAGGAGCTTATAGTGCAGTAGCAGGAAGAGACTAGAAATAAATAGCTTATTTATTTATTTATTTATTTATTTATTTATAAGGAATAAACTTTTAAAAAAAATTTCTATTCCTTATCAATAAGAAGCTTATTGATAAGGAATAGAAATAAAAAGCTTATTAAGTATGACATGATGAAGGCTATATTTTCAAAGTTTGACTAACTCTATCTGGAGAAATTAGGGGAAGTTAAAACATAGACTTGAAACTTTAAAGTACTAAAGTACATAGAATTTGCTTAATAGACAAGGGCCAGTAAGTATGTCTTACTGTGTGTGAGGAAACAGCCTCTATATATTTACAGAGGTGTTTCAAAACGCTGTTTATAGTATCCTTGCTTTTAAAACTGAAGTGCAAACTGAATGATCTGTTCCTTTGTTGGCTCCTATCTTTTCCTTTTTAGCTCTTTTGTACTTCCTTCCACCTTTTCCTTTGGGCATATTTCATACCAGAAACATTATCAACTTTCTTCTCTTAAGATTGATTCACATTGTTTTCTCTGTCCTTTCTACCCTTTTACCCCATTCATTTATAGAAGTGGGCTTTCTTTCAGTCTTATTTTTCTAAGCGTATGGCTAGATCGGTAACGATAATTTTAGAATTTATTATGATTTAATTATTTAAGGGGATATCTGTTTCCTTTACATTTTGAGATTCATCTTACTCATTTTGTCCTAAAGTTACTGTTAAAGAAGAGTTTTGAAAGTATAATAGACATTTGATAAACTTTGAGTATATAGGTAGCTTCTACAAAGGCACATTGTCTACATTAATTAGCTGTAGTCTTTGGTCACAGTTGTGTATCTGTTGTTATGAGTGATGAGCAGCTTTTGCTTTTGTAGAGGCAAGACAGAGAAACTTTCTTCCATTCCACTCCAGGTTCTGTGGAAAACTGGGAATCCTGTCATATTGATATTCCTTCTCCTGGAATAGTTTGTCTCAGCTGTTGCTCCTATCTTCTTTGGTTAAAGAAACACAGCTATGAGGTTGGTTCTTCCTAGACAATTCATGCTTTTTCTAAACTGAGATCATGAAATTGTTCTCCGTTATCATATTCAAAAAGCTTTTACATTTTGCTTCTATATTTAGGTCATTAATGTACCTGCAATTCATTTTGTTTATGATATGAGATATGCCTAGTGTCATTTTTGCTGATGTAGGTATAGAAGTGTCTCAGAATTTATAATTTTTTTAAATGAAAAAAGTTTAAGCAATTTTATTGATGTTTAATTTACATATCATAAAATTAATAAAAGTCACTCATTTCAAGGGTACAATTCAATGATTTTTAGTGAATTTCCTGAAATGTGCAACCATCACCATAATCAAATTTTAGAACATTTTCATCAACCCTCATGCCAATTACAGCTAATCCCTTAATGAATTCGTTTTTAAAAAAAATATATTTTATTGATTTTACACAGAGAGGAATTGAGAGAGACAGAGAGTTAGAAACATCGATGAGAGAGAATCATCGATCAGCTGCCTCTTGCACACCCCCTACTGGGGATGTGCCCGCAACCAAGGTACATGCCCTTGACCGGAATCGAACCTGGGACCTTTCAGTCCGCAGGCCGATGCTCTATCCACTGAGCCAAACCGGTCCCGACCCCTTAATGAATTCTTTTTAGTTTTTCATCTTTAGATCTCTGTAGCATCCTATACTGTTGGCCATTCCCTGTCTTGAACCTTGGTGTATGCCTTACTTTCTGACACAGCTTTTTCCAGGATCCTCTACTTTCCTCTTCAGTTATTTTCAGATTCCTCTGCAAGCTCTTTTTCCTCTGACCATTTCTTTTTCTTTTATAAATGTATGCACGCACGCGCACATACATACACACACACACATATTGATTTCAGAGAGGGAGAGAGAAACGTCAGTGATAAAAATCATTGATTTTAAATGAACCTCAATAAATAGGGTGTTCAATAAAAGGAAGGAATATGCAGGATCTTCCTGGGAAAGAGGCATATATGATATTTATAACTTTTATTTTGTTCTCCCTGGTCTGTTCTTACTGATATGTCCTGTCACTATCTTTATATATTAACTTCCACATTTTGTGGATTTGTTTTTAGGATCTAAACTTTAAAAGCCTAAGTGACCGAATGACCAGTCAAATACTCAATGCATTAGCTGCCCCTGGTGCACTCTCACAGTGCGCTCTCACAGCGGGAGTGCCGTTCAGCTGACTGACCCATCCCAGCAGCCCAACAGCATTGCAGCAGCCATTGACTCCTTCAGTAGTCCTGCAGGTTCAATCTCCAGAGAACAGGCCAGGCACTGATGGACTGGTGCTGCTAGTACAATCCCAACAGCGCCACCGGCCTCCAGAAAGTCGTCCTTGACACTGTGGCCACTTCCCCTCCCTCGACGCTCCACAAGGAAGAAATGATATTAAAGTAGCTGCGAGGTAGCTCCTGACAGCTGCATCCCAGTCCCTTCCACCCCCCTTGGGACGGGCTCCAGACGCAGGACTCCTGGCTAGTGAGCACTGCTGTGGCATCATGAGCCTCTCTGATCAGAACTGACTGGGTGCAAGCCCACGGTAGGCACAACAGGGCAGGGATGCATGGGAATGGCAGACAGGAGCATCAGGCGGCATTGGAATGCCGGTTTCAGCCCAGTTGCCACAGGCCATGCCAAGGGATCCCTTCTCCCATGCACGAATTTGTGCACCGGGCCTCTAGTGTTTAATAATTTTGCATTCGCCGAAACCGGTTTGGCTCAGCGGTAGAGCGTAGGTCTGCGGACTGAAAGGTCCCGGGTTTGATTCCGGTCAAGGGCATATACATTGGTTGCGGGCACATCCCTGGTAGGGGTGTGCAAGAGGCAGCTGGTCGATGTTCTTCTCTCATTGACGTTTCTAGTTCTCTATCCCTCTCCCTTCCTCTCTGTAAAAAATCAATAAAATATATTAAAAAAATAATAATTTTGTATTCTGTTTTTTTTCTGTGCCAAACCCTCACAATCTAAATTACTTTAGGTTTGTAGTGGGTTTTACTATCTGGTAGAACACATTCATTCCTTTTTTTTTTTTTTTTTTTTAATATCTTGCTGTTCTTGACCTTTTGAATACACCTTTAATTTTAAAAAAATGTAAACCTGAGCTTTATTGGGATTTTATAGATTGCTTAGTGTGGGAAGATTTGCTGACTTTACAGTATTTGAGATTTCTACATAAGTCTTCATTTATTTATATTTTCTTATTTCTGTCAATCCTATATAATCCCATATAATAAAAGAGCAGTATGCAAATTAATCACTCTGCTACACCCACAAGCCACGCCCACAAGCTAATCAGGAGCAAATATGCAAATAAACCCAACCAAGATGCCTATGGCCACAGAAAGCAGGAGGGAGGTTTGGGTTTCCCAGACAATGGAGGAAGCCAAACTTTCTGCCTGCCTCGTCGGCCTAGGCCTCCACTCAAAGCTATAAAGTTTCATTGTTAGAAGATACATAAGCCCAAACAGAAATGGTGGCAGCAGGATAGGTATGCCCCTGGTGATAGAGGAAGCCAAGCTTTCAGCACATCCTGGCAGGCCCAGACCTCTACTTAAGGCAACAAAGTTTCAATTGTAAAAGATACATAAATCCCAACAGAAATGGCTGCCGCCACAGAGCAAGCAGAAGGCTTGGCTCTGCTCAAGGCTACATAGTTTCAATTGTAAAAGATGCATAAATCCCAGATACCAGGGCCTCTGTTTGGGTTGCCAGGGGGCCTAGCCAGCCTGCAAACCACCACAGGCCCCACACTCCAAGGGAACCCCCACCCTGATCTGGGACATCCTTCAGGGCAAACCCGCTGGATCCCACCTGTGCACCAGGCCCCTATCCTATCTAATAAAAGAGTAATATGCAGATTGACCATCACTCCAACACACAAGATGGGAAAGAGGCATATATAATGATATTTATAACTTTTATTTTGAGAAATAGGCATATATAATGCCCCCATGTGGTCAAAGATCCTACCCCCGTGTTGATACAAGATGGCCACCACAAGGTGGCTAGCAGGAGAGGGCAGTTGGGGAAGGGGGGACCAGGCCTGCAGGGAGGGCTGTTGTGAATGTTCAGGCCAGCAGGGGAGGACAATTGGGAGGGACCAGGCCTGTAAGGGAGGACAGTTGGGGGCGATCAAGCCTGTAAGGGAGGGCAGTTAGGGGTCACTAGGTCTGCAGAGGAGGGAAGTCGGCCAACCAGGACTTGTAGGGAAGGGCAGTTGGGAGGGACTCAGGCCTGCAGGGGAGAGCAGTTAGGGGCAATCAGGCTGGCAGGGGAGCAGTTAGGCATCAGTCAAGCTGGCAGGGGAGTGGTTAGGGAGTGATCAGGCTAGCAGGCAGAAGCAGACAGGGGCAATCAGGCAGGCAGGCAGGTGAGCAGTTGGGAGCCAGCAGTCCTAGATTGTGAGAGGGATGTCCGACTGCCCATTTAGGCATGGATCGGGCCTAAACGGGCAGTTGGACATCCCTCAAGGGGCCCCAGATTGGAGAAGTTGCAGGCTGGGCTAAGGGACGCCCCCCCTCCTGTGCACGAATTTTGTGCACCAGGCCTCTATTAAAACTATAATTTTCTCTATAAAAGTACATCTTTTGTTAGATTAATTTCTGCGTAATTTATGCTTTTCAATGTAAACTATTTTAAAACTTTTGCTTACTATTCATCTTATATAATAAAAGACTAATATGTTAAGTGTTCAGTTGTCTGGTCATTTGTTCAACCAGTTAAAGTATATTATGCTAATGATATGCTAAGGCTCAACCACTTGTTAAGACTTGCACTGACCACCAGGGGGCATATGTTCCAACCAGGTTAATTTGCTGCTGGGGTCTGGCTGATCAGGACTGAGTGAGATGGGCAGGCCATGCCTTGGAGCCCTCTTGCAGTCGCTCCCCAGGTGGCCAACCTCCTGTGTCTCTCCCTGGCTCTGATCGTGCACCAGTGGGGGCCCTCGGCCTGCGTCCTCTCACACTCTGGGATCCCTGTGGATGTCAGAGAGCCAGTTTTGGCCCAGTCCTGTTCAATGCAGAAGCTGCCCCCTGGTGGTAAGTGTGCTTTCACAGGGGGAATGCCCACTCAGCCAGAAGCCAGGTTCACAGATAGGGAGCACAGCGATGGTGGCAGGAGCCTCTCCTGCATCTGTGACAGTGCTAAGGAAGCCAGGGTGTGGGCCTAAGCCATCAGTCGGACATCCCCTAACAGCTCTCCCACTAGGAGAGGGCACAGGCCGGGCTGAGGAACTTTTCCCCCTCTCTAAGTGCACAAATTTCATGCAGCAGGCCTCTAGTATGAATATAATTGATTTGCTTTTTAAGGTCCTTTGGGAAGTGATTATAGACTTACTTGTCCTTTTCTTTTTCTTTTATAAATGTATACACACACACACCACACACACACACACACACACACACACACATTGATTTCAGAGAGGGAGATTTATAACTTTTATAGTACATAGAGTCCTGTGAATTCTTCACTATCTTCTATCAATGATGACATCTTCTGTAACTATAGTACAATATTAAGTCAGAAAATTGACACTGGAATGATATTGTCAATTAAATTATAGACTTGATTCAGTTTTCTTGTTTTTGTATGAAAATTCCTGTGTGTGTGAGTGGTGTGTATGTGTCCTTTGTATAGATTCATGTCACCACCACCACCAAAATCAAGATGCAGAATTATAAAGGAGCTCTCTTATGCTCCTTCTTACTTTCACCCAAGCCCTCGGGCAACCAACCACTGATCTGTTCTCCATGTCTATAGTTTTGTCTTTTTAAGAATGTTAAATAAATGGATCCATATAATATTTAACCTTTTGAGGTTGGCTCTTCCAGTAGGTATGTCCATAAGTTTTACTTATATCAGTAAGTCAGTTACTGCTAAGTAATATTTTTTGTATGGATATGGATTTCTTTAATTATTTACATACTAGAGGCCTGTTGCACAAAATTCATGCATCGGGAGGGGGAGGGGGTTCCT